CAGTTGTATAATGTTAAAATGCCACTAATCATCAGATGACACAGTCACACAGTTGTATAATGTTAAAATGCCACTAATCATCAGATGACACAGTCACACAGTTGTATAATGTTAAAATGCCACTAATCATCAGATGACACAGTCACACAGTTGTATAATGTTAAAATGTCACTAATCATCAGATGACACAGTCACACAGTTGTATAATGTTGAAATGCCACTAATCATCAGATGACACAATCATACAGTTGTATAATGTTAAAATGCCACTAATCATCAGATGACACAGTCACACAGTTGTATAATGTTAAAATGCCACTAATCATCAGATGACACAGTCATACAGTTGTAAATTGTTAAAATGCCACTAATCATCAGATGACACAGTCATACAGTTGTATAATGTTAAAATGCCACTAATCATCAGATGACACAGTCATACAGATGTATAATGTTAAAATGCCACTAATCATCAGATGACACAGTCACACAGTTGTAAATTGTTAAAATGCCACTAATCATTAGATGACACAGTCACACAGTTGTAAATTGTTAAAATGCCACTAATCATCAGATGACACAGTCACACAGTTGTAAATTGTTAAAATGCCACTAATCATCAGATGACACAGTCACACAGTTGTAAATTGTTAAAATGCCACTAATCATCAGATGACACAGTCACACAGTTGTAAATTGTTAAAATGCCACTAATCATCAGATGACACAGTCACACAGTTGTATAATGTTGAAATGCCACTAATCATCAGATGACACAGTCACACAGTTGTATAATGTTAAAATGCCACTAATCATCAGATGACACAGTCACACAGTTGTATAATGTTAAAATGCCAATAATCATCAGATGACACAGTCACACAGTTGTATAATGTTGAAATGCCACTAATCATCAGATGACACAGTCATACAGTTGTATAATGTTAAAATGCCACTAATCATCAGATGACACAGTCACACAGTTGTATAATGTTAAAATGCCACTAATCATCAGATGACACAGTCATACAGTTGTAAATTGTTAAAATGCCACTAATCATCAGATGACACAGTCATACAGTTGTATAATGTTAAAATGCCACTAATCATCAGATGACACAGTCATACAGATGTATAATGTTAAAATGCCACTAATCATCAGATGACACAGTCACACAGTTGTAAATTGTTAAAATGCCACTAATCATCAGATGACACAGTCACACAGTTGTAAATTGTTAAAATGCCACTAATCATCAGATGACACAGTCACACAGTTGTAAATTGTTAAAATGCCACTAATCATCAGATGACACAGTCAAACAGTTGTAAATTGTTAAAATGCCACTAATCATCAGATGACACAGTCACACAGTTGTATAATGTTGAAATGCCACTAATCATCAAATGACACAGTCACACAGTTGTATAATGTTAAAATGCCACTAATCATCAGATGACACAGTCACACAGTTGTATAATGTTAAAATGCCACTAATCATCAGATGACACAGTCACACAGTTGTATAATGTTGAAATGCCACTAATCATCAGATGACACAGTCATACAGTTGTATAATGTTAAAATGCCACTAATCATCAGATGACACAGTCACACAGTTGTATAATGTTAAAATGTCATTAATCATCAGATGACACAGTCACACAGTTGTATAATGTTAAAATGCCACTAATCATCAGATGACAGAGTCATACAGTTGTATAATGTTAAAATGTCACTAATCATCAGATGACACAGTCACACAGTTGTATAATGTTAAAATGCCACTAATCATCAGATGACACAGTCACACAGATGTATAATGTTAAAATGCCACTAATCATCAGATGACACAGTCATACAGATGTATAATGTTAAAATGCCACTAATCATCAGATGACACAGTCACACAGTTGTAAATTGTTAAAATGCCACTAATCATCAGATGACACAGTCACACAGTTGTAAATTGTTAAAATGCCACTAATCATCAGATGACACCGTCACACAGTTGTAAATTGTTAAAATGCCACTAATCATCAGATAACACCGTCACACAGTTGTAAATTGTCAAAATGCCACTAATCATCAGATGACACAGTCACACAGTTGTATAATGTTAAAATGCCACTAATCATCAGATGACACAGTCATACAGTTGTATAATGTTAAAATGCCACTTATCATCAGATGACACAGTCATACAGTTGTATAATGTTAAAATGCCACTAATCATCAGATGACACCGTCACACAGTTGTATAATGTTAAAATGCCACTAATCATCAGATGACACAGTCATACAGTTGTATAATGTTAAAATGTCACTAATCATCAGATGACACAGTCATACAGTTGTATAATGTTAAAATGCCACTAATCATCAGATGACACAGTCATACAGTTGTATAATGTTGAAATGCCACTAGTCATCAGATGACACCGTCACACAGATGTATAATGTTGAAATGCCACTAATCATCAGATGACAGTCACACAGATGTATAATGTTAAAATGCCACTAATCATCAGATGACACAGTCACACAGATGTATAATGTTAAAATGCCACTAATCATCAGATGACACAGTCACACAGATGTATAATGTTAAAATGCCACTAATCATCAGATGACACAGTCACACAGATGTATAATGTTGAAATGCCACTAGTCATCAGATGACACAGTCATACAGTTGTATAATGTTGAAATGCCACTAATCATCAGATGACACAGTCACACAGTTGTATAATGTTAAAATGCCACTAATCATCAGATGACAGAGTCATACAGTTGTATAATGTTGAAATGCCACTAATCATCAGATGACTGAGTCACACAGTTGTATAATGTTGAAATGCCACTAATCATCAGATGACACAGTCATACAGTTGTAAAATGTTGAAATGCCACTAATCATCAGATGACACAGTCATACAGTTGTATAATGTTAAAATGCCACTAATCATCAGATGACACAGTCATACAGTTGTATAATGTTGAAATGCCACTAGTCATCAGATGACACAGTCATACAGTTGTATAATGTTGAAATGCCACTAGTCATCAGATGACACAGTCATACAGTTGTATAATGTTGAAATGCCACTAGTCATCAGATGACACAGTCATACAGTTGTATAATGTTGAAATGCCACTAGTCATCAGATGACACAGTCATACAGTTGTATAATGTTGAAATGCCACTAGTCATCAGATGACACAGTCATACAGTTGTATAATGTTAAAATGCCACTAGTCATCAGATGACACAGTCATACAGTTGTATAATGTTGAAATGCCACTAATCATCAGATGACACAGTCACACAGTTGTATAATATTGAAATGCCACTAATCATCAGATGACAGAGTCACACAGTTGTATAATGTTGAAATGCCACTAATCATCAGATGACACAGTCATACAGTTGTAAAATGTTAAAATGCCACTAATCATCAGATGACACAGTCATACAGTTGTATAATGTTGAAATGCCACTAGTCATCAGATGACACAGTCATACAGTTGTATAATGTTAAAATGCCACTAATCATCAGATGACACAGTCACACAGTTGTATAATGTTAAAATGTCACTAATCATCAGATGACACAGTCACACATTTGTATAATGTTAAAATGCCACTAGTCATCAGATGACACAGTCATACAGTTGTATAATGTTAAAATGCCACTAGTCATCAGATGACACAGTCATACAGTTGTATAATGTTAAAATGCCACTAGTCATCAGATGACACAGTCATACAGTTGTATAATGTTAAAATGCCACTAGTCATCAGATGACACAGTCATACAGTTGTATAATGTTAAAATGCCACTAGTCATCAGATGAGACAGTCATACAGTTGTATAATGTTAAAATGCCACTAGTCATCAGATGACACAGTCATACAGTTGTATAATGTTAAAATGCCACTAGTCATCAGATGACACAGTCACACAGTTGTATAATGTTAAAATGTCACTAATCATCAGATGACACAGTCACACAGTTGTATAATGTTAAAATGCCACTAGTCATCAGATGACACAGTCACACAGTTGTATAATGTTAAAATGCCACTAGTCATCAGATGACACAGTCATACAGTTGTAAAATGTTAAAATGCCACTAATCATCAGATGACACAGTCACACAGTTGTATTAAGAGACTGATTTTTGTTATAGAAAAAAAAGCCACCTACGAAGCTAAGCACTTCATCCAAACAGGCACGATTCTTCTATGTTCTGACAAAATTGTAACACTGCCTGGTCATCAGACGACAAGTAACCCGCCATTTTTGTTTTGTATTCTTCGGCACGGAGCGTGAAACTAAGGGTAAACAATAATCATTTTTAAACGCTCTTGAGACAGTTGAACTAATGAGATCAGTTTATGAGGATCAATGTTGATCAAATTCAACATCATACTCATCTGCCATTGTGTATTACTTGGTGCCTAAGGGTAGAATTAACGGTTGCGTGGCACCTCAAGTTAGTAACAACAGGAGTTAAAGTCAGCGATAGTACACATTAACATAATGTCCGTGATATTGCTGAGAGCCAGGTGAGTGTAAACACTTGTCTGGAATGAAGTCTACGATAGTACACATTAGTGTAAACACCTGCGGGGAATGAAGCTGTTGGAGGCAAGCTCTGCTCTGTCAATCTAGAGAACTGTCATCACCACAACAATGGAGTGGGAAGTATGAGATCCGAGTAAAGCTTACCGCGATCTCCGTTCTTAGACTTTGGCAACAAGTTTCTCATTGCGAGCCAATATTGGACATCAAAATCCAGCTTCATTTTCAGTCTTTTCCACCCCAGGTTTGAATCATAATAACTACCTCATGCACGAGCTATGTATAGATCCTCGTAAAATATTTATCTGAACGTGTGTAATTGACCATAATGTATTTATTTATAATATTTGAGGTAGTCAGTAGATATAGCTTTGATTTGTTATAACCTAATTGGCAGTGAGCAGACACACCTGGTGTTTATTGCCGTAATTGATGCGTGTCTTGTTACCCTGTCGGTCGTGGATCATGCGAGCCCAAACACGGACTCCCCTGGTTTCCAACTGCTGACACAGGCCGAGCAAGTTCAAGGCCTCCCAACCTCGACAAGAGATGTCCACGCTAATGCTGCGGCCAGGCTCCGGCTCTAGGCTCCGGGCATCTGTTGGAGTGTACACACAATGGTACATGATAGTGTTGCTGACAGAAAATATCATTGTCATGGACCTTATGTCTGCCATACCGTCACGTGGCTCGTTGGTAGTCTACAGACAGTCAGACTATCACTACGACACACTTAACCCAAACATCCACAGATCACACAGCAATCTTTACAGAATAACTTAACAAATGGCAGTTTGCCTCAGACAACGTGGGTGCCAAGGCTTTATAAATCACCTTTCACTCCTTATCACGCTCCAATGGACATTAACCGGGCCCGAACCTACGCCGCTTCCGTACAACACTTTCCTCTGTAATTGCGCCTCCCTCTAGGACCGTAGAGCCTCTGTCGATTGCGGGCAAAGTAAGCTAGGACAGGTCAAATCACAACAACCCACATGAACCACCCGTAGCTACACGGCTAACGTGTACTATCTAACCAGCTAGCTAGTCACATAACAAGCGACACAGACGCTATCTCCGCTGATCACTGTATAACACAGAAGTACTGCTACAATATGACGCTACACATTAAAACACATACTAGAGGTCACTATGTCCTAAACACGATTCATGGCATTCTACTCGTCTAACGATCACAAGTCGTTAATCTTTCCGTCCTGGAAACAAACTCCTAGATCTTGAGCTCTCCGCTCCGTTTTGGTAAGTCCGTCCTTATGCCTCGCGAGCTGAACTGTTCACTAGGTCACGACTTCCAACTGTCGTCGTCCGTTCGTCGCGGTCAACTCTGGGTCAAGCCTTGGTCGTGTCAATACAGACCTGAGACATTCATTGCTGTCGTACTGGCTGTCCCATACCCGCCCCAGACTAGCATTCACGCCCACGCACGCATACACACACACACACAAAATATGTCAGTCTCATCAGTCAGACAAACATAGTCAAATATTGTTTTCCCCAAATATGGTCAAATATTGTCCTCCTCGGACATGGTTAAGTACTGTTTTCCTCAAATATGGTCAAATATTATCTTCCTCCAACAAGGTAAAAAAAAAATGTCTACTTCAAAAAAGGTCAAATATTGTCTTTAAACAAGGTCAAATATTGTCTTCCTCGAACATGGTCAAAAATGTTCTACCTGAGACAAGGTTAAATATTGTCTTTCTAAAAAAAAAAAGGTTAAATATTGTCCTCAAACTTTACATTATGGGTAGAGTCAACATTAAACAGACATAATCATCAAAGACGCCTACAGTCTGAATGTTAAAGAACCCAGATCTTCCTTTTATCCTCACGATTCAACTGTCCTTCTCTAACAGACATCAATAGTGACAGTCCTGACTCACCTGTCCTCCTCTAACAGACATCAATAGTGACAGACCCGACTCATCTGTCCTTCTCTAACAGACATCAATAGTGACAGTCCTGACTCATCTGTCCTTCTCTAACAGACATCAATAGTGACAGTCCTGACTCATCTGTCCTCCTCTAACATACATCAATAGTGACAGTCCTGACTTATCTGTCTTTCTCTAACATACATCAATGGTGACAGTCCTGACTCATCTGTCTTTCTCTAACAGACAACAACAGTGACAGACCTGACTCACCTGTCCTCCTCTAACAGACATCAATAGTGACAGACCCTACTCACCTGTCCTCCTCTAACAGACATCAATAGTGACAGACCCGACTCACCTGTCCTCCTCTAACGGACATCAATAGTGACAGACCTGACTCACCTGTCCTCCTCTAACAGACAACAACAGTGACAGACCTGACTCACCTGTCCTCCTCTAACAGACATCAATAGTGACAGACCCCTCACCTGTCCTCCTCCTACAGACAACAACAGTGACAGACCTGGCTCACCTGTCCTCCTCTAACAGACATCAACAGTGACAGACTTGATTCACCTGTCCTCCTCTAACAGACATCAACAGTGACAGACTTGACTTACCTGTCCTCCTCTAACAGACATCAACAGTGACAGACTTGACTCACCTGTCCTCCTCAAACAGACATCAATAGTGGCAGTCCTGACTCACCTGTCCTCCTCTAACAGACATCAACAGTTGACATACACACTTGACTCACCTGTCCTCCTCTAACAGACAACAACAGTGACAGACCTGACTCACCTGTCTTCTAACAGACATCAATAGTGACAGACCTGACTCACCTGTCCTCCTCTAACAGACATCAATAGTGACAAACCTGACTCACCTGTCTTCTAACAGACAACAACAGTGACAGACCTGACTCACCTGTCCTCCTCTAACAGACATCAACAGTTGACACACACACTTGACTCACATGTCCTCCTCTAACAGACATCAATAATGACAGACTGACTCACCTGTCCTCCTCTAACAGACATCAATAGTGACAGACTGACTCACCTGTCCTCCTCTAACAGACTTTGACACAGTCGTGTCTTCACCTCCCCCAAGTATGGATGTGCCTAATGCGGCTAAGGTGTATGGATACAGTTCGTTGCTCTCTTGAATCATATTTAACTACAAGGCCAGTGATGTAACAATTACACAGGAACTTGTTTATTAACAATATTGTCAAGTCAAACAGAATAAATCATTTCAATAACCAATATTATAGGAACACTTCATTATCTTATTACTGTATCTGTTCGTATGTCTCTCTATGAGTTCCTTAATCAGTGTTCTAGCTAAACTCCAAGTTTTATATATCTTCTCACGACTGTTTTCTCAACTCCTCTCTTCAGCGGCTGGCTTCTGACTGTCTCGTCTTCTCTCTCAAACAGCTAGGTACTAACTGACCTCTCCTCGCTCCTCTACCCTTCACCTTCAGCCCCGCTTCTCCTCTCCTTCTCGCGTGGGTTCTCAATCACCCCCTGTCATCTGTCTCTGGTGGTCAATTTTAGATAAACGTATCTATTCCACTGGTCACAGTGCACCTGGTTTTATCTGTATCGTTGGTCGGGCCAGCTTTTAATCACTGTTTCCTGTCATGCCAACCAGTGACGCATTGGCGTGCCTAGATGCTGTTCTGAAATGTATGCCTTCTTCATTTAACCCCTTCTGTCCGCCTTCCTATTTTACTACAAGACAACAACAGTGACAGACCTGACTCACCTGTCCTCCTCTAACAGACATCAATAGTGACAGACCCGACTCACCTGTCCTCCTCTAACAGACAACAACAGTGACAGACCTGACTCACCTGTCCTCCTCTAACAGACATCAACAGTGACAGACCTGACTCACCTGTCCTCCTCTAACAGACATCAACAGTGACAGACCCGACTCACCTGTCCTCCTCTAACAGACATCAAAGTGACAGACCTGACTCACCTGTCCTCCTCTAACAGACATCAATAGTGACAGACCCGACTCACCTGTCCTCCTCTAACAGACATCAATAGTGACAGACCTGACTCACCTGTCCTCCTCTAACAGACATCAATAGTGACAGACCTGACTCACCTGTCCTCCTCTAACAGACATCAACAGTGACAGACCTGACTCACCTGTCCTCCTCTAACAGACATCAATAGTGACAGAACTGACTCACCTGTCCTCCTCTACTATATGTCAACAGTAACAGACACCTGACTCGCCCGCCTTTTACTAGATGTCAACAGTAACAGACACCTGACTCGCCCGTCTTTTACTAGATGTCAACAGTAACAGACACCTGACTCGCCCGTCTTTTACTAGATGTCAACAGTAACGACACACGACTCATCTGTCATCTCCTGTTTGTCAACAGTAACGACACACGACTCACCTGTCATCTCCTGTTTGTCAACAGTAACAGCCACCTCACTCACCTGTCCTCCTCTCGTAAACATCCACTTGATAACCCCGTCTGGCCAGGCAGCAGGCGGCGAAGGCACCAACCTGTGTTGACAGAACCACAACATTATCATCAGGGGGCAGTCTACTTGAACACGCCGGCACCCATCCCCGACACACTCGCTCTTTGAACACGCTGTGACGTGACGCGTGGTTTAAATGTTTATAATGTTGAGTAGGGATGTTCCTCTCAACACATTCCCTCCACCAGATTAACGGAACTAAAATCTGAGCTATGTTGCTCTCAGACAAAGTCCTGGATACCCAAGAAAACAACCATATTGGCTCGTTAAGTACTTTAACATTAGCTGCACTTGGTACCCACAAGAGAAGGCAAGGAATTTTAGATGTCTATCATACTTAATGAATTATTAGACAGGGCAAGTGATTCCTCCGTCATCTACCTTCTCCCGGTGTTATTATTAATAATTAAAGAATTATTATATTATTTGAGCCCCCACCAAATGGTGTTCTATCCTAACAGTTTAATTAAACATGTAAGAACAGACATTTGGAATTTAACAAACTATGTAGTTTAAAACTTGACATACAGCTTTATTTACTACAATGAAATTACCAGTTTGTTGATTTACACAAACAGTGACTGGTTAACGTGATAAGTGATAAGCTTCAGCGAGACAAACAGCTCGGGGTTTAGAGTGGTATGATAATGATGATAAAAGGTTAACATAAAGGGGTTAACTCAACTTATAAGCCTCTGACAGCCGTGAGGAACTGTCAAGCTTGTCCAACTCTTCCTTGCCTGTTGTCTGCCTGTTTCAGCTTATTCTCCACTTCCTCCCCACCTCGTTCCCAGCTGGCCGAGTCTAACACAATGTAGTCTCTTTCATGGACTGATCGTCACATGGGCGCTGTAATCATGGAAACAAAACACATACGTGTAGTATCTTGACTTACAATAAGAATACATGTATCAATTAATATAACATAGAATAATAAAATATAGCCCATCACTCCTCCTCATATTCCACATCCTCTCCAGTCTAGTCTGAAGGTCTTTTGTCTTACATGGACGTCACATATCCTGCCTTCCCTCAAATGCTATGTCATGATAGTTGACTTTCTAAGTCTGTGTCCGTCTTCACTCAGACTTCCAATTGGCTGACATAGATTTGACATAAACATGTGGCGCAGGTTATGTGCTGAACCCGCAAACAATTTATATGTGCACGCTGTCCTGAATATTATCTTTCAGTGACAGTAAATACTGTACACCCATCATTCTTCCCCTGGGGTTATAAATCCCCTGTTCAGGTGAACACATTAAGTGAGCACATGGTGGGCACACAAAACGTAGCAGCATCCCTGCCACATATTTGGGCATCATTTCCCACAGTCCCAACTCATATTTTGGCTGATCGTGAAAACAATATAATTACATTTCATTATAGCAAATGTCATTGTTCACATCTTATTTTATACACATGAAAACATACAATGAAAAACATGTGACACAAACATACAAAAAATAGGAATAGTTTAGCAGTTCCCTAACTGAGATACTGAATACTCACAAAGAACTATTTCAAGCAGAATGTGCAGACAAATTAGGAAAAGGTAGTATAGACTAAGCTTAACTCCCTAACCTAAGTATACAAGATTAAAATTAATATTTTCTCTTACCTGGGAACTTTTCCATCTATCGCCAAACCAGAGTACGACAGTAAAATATACCTTTACGTCGACCTGTGTTTGTTTGCCGGCAGGCTGCGATTAATGACGGGAATTCCACAGGCTCGAAGTATAAGTATCAATCTATTGTCCAAGTTAAACTCCTCCCTTTTTACCCAACCCTCAAGATGATGGCTTAAGCTCCGCCTCTGAAGTACCTATCAAATCAAATTAGCTAACAAGTGACCTGTCACTCACAGTGAACGGCCTACAGTACGACCTTGACCAAGATAAAACATTCCTAATTGCCAAACACCTGTTCTCCGGAGAATTACACTGACGTGTTAAACTTTAAACTTCTGGTCGCCTCAATGTCTAGCGTCCACTCAATTCCCCTGTTCAAAAGGGCCCCACTCAGGCTGTGTTAGGAGATAACATTCTGACACTGGCGTGAGAATCAAACCTACACCCCTAGTCTCATCAAAAGTCTGTTCAAAGCAGTCTGGTCAGGAGATAACATTTATGACATGGGCATGTGAAAGGGAATTCTCTAGCCCCGGTGTAATTGCGTAACATTACCCAAGACTGAGTCGCTTTGTCTGGACTAAGGACTGGAAACATTTAAATCAATACGGTTTAAAGTAACATTTGGTTTAAGGGCATAGTCTCTTGTCTCTCAATAACCAGAAGAACTTATTACAAGTACTAACTTCTGGAATCACTGAGATCGTTTCGTGACACACGCCGGCACCCATCCCCGACACACTCGCTCTTTGAACACGCCGGCACCCATCCCCGACACACTCGCTATTTGAACACGCCGGCACCCATCCCAGACACACACGCTTTTTTGAACACGCCGGCACCTATCCCCGACACACTCGCTATTTGAACACGCCGGCACCTATCCCCGACACACTCGCTATTTGAACACGCCGGCACCCATCCTCGACACACTCGCTATTTGAACACGCCGGCACCTATCCCCGACACACTCGCTGTTTGAACACGCCGGCACCCATCCCCGACACACTCGCTATTTGAACACGCCGGCACCCATCCCCGACACACTCGTTGTTTGAACACGCCGGCACCCATCCCCGACACACTCGCTCTTTGAACACACCGGCACCCATCCCCCGACACACTCGCGGTTTGAACACGCCGGCACCCATTCCCGACACACTCGCGGTTTGAACACGCCGGCACCCATCCCCGACACACTCGCTCTTTGAACACGCCGGCACCCATCCCCGACACACTCGCTCTTTGAACACGCTGGCACCCATCCCCGACACACGCGCTCTTTGAACACGCCGGCACCCATCCCCGACACACGCGCTCTTTGAACACGCTGGCCCTCATCCCCGACACACGCGCTCTTTGAACACGCTGGCACCCATCCCCGACACACGCGCTCTTTGAACACGCCGGCCCTCATCCCTGACACACACGCTCTTTGAACACGCCGGCACCCATCCCCGACACACGCGCTCTTTGAACACGCCGGCACTCATCCCCGACACACTCGTGATTTGGACGCCCGGAGCACTTTTAAAGAATCCATTTTTATCTACTATAATTTTTTTTTCCAGTTATTTAAATATAAATTAAAAAAAAAAAAAAAAACAGTACCTATTTTCCTTTGCAGAGCGTGATTTATTTAGTGTTGCTAAAGATGTCGATCAAACAAGCCAGTTTATACACATTGTCCTGAGACAACCAGCTGACTCCGTAGGAATACACTCACAGGGAGCAAGTACAGCAGGGATCTACCAGTCATCAGTAGAAATTATCCTCGTCGACACTATTCCTAGACGCATTCGGAGGTGGGCCCTCCTGAGTTCATGAAGCTCAGGGCTGGTTCCCTGCTGCACGGGATAACCGGATGGTGTTTTACTTTCGGCCAGAGACAAGACGACTTGGTGGTTTCGAAGGAGGTACTGTGAGATAAGAAGCCGCCGCGGCAGCCTAATTAAAGCAGTCGGCATGCCTGGACGACCGAGCGACAAGCTTACTTTGGTTTACCGGACACATGTTGGACTTTTATTAGCAGTTGGCAGAGGAACACTGGCAGACAATTCGGACACGATGGACTTTCAAAGGGATGAGAAACTCCTTTCCACTAGACACCCGGACCAGCTCACCGAGGCCCGTCCCCTACGTTGTTGCGCTGCGTCCAAAGCCAGCTAGAGGCCCTTTCGGCTACCTCTCCCAGTTTTTTGAGTGTCCGTTTCCGTTCATTACCGCGCAATCCTAGTTCTTTCACCACATTGTAGAGCGAAGTGGAAACGAGGCCTCTCGCTCTCACTTCGACGGCAAATACCCGTACCGTGTAAGCCTCGTTTCTCCTCAAACCGGCTGCTAAATCACTGTACTTCTCGAGCTTGTACAAATGATTCTCCTCCATACGCGACTCAAACGGGACAGTCAACTCAATCAGGATGAGCTGCCGTTTTTGCGCAGAATGGAGAACGATGTCCGGTCGCAGGCCGGTTTTACGGATCAACTCGGGGTACCGTTTATGGCCTGGCAGATCAACCGCCAGTAACCAGTCCCTCGCAAAGTCTAGCACAGATGGAGCGAATGCGTTTTGGTTGACCTTACCTTTGGAAACCTGCCCAGCCTTGAGGAAACGAATGGGGACGATGCTAGAACTGGCTCTGGCGTTAGCCCTCATTCTAGCCTGGTCGACAACGGCTGCTAACTCTTTTAGCACCTTGTTGTGTCGCCAGGTATAACGGCCTTGACCTAGGGCTTTCCTGCACGCGGACAGGACGTGCTCAAGAGTTTGCTTCGATTTGCACAACGGGCAAGTCGGATCGTTGGTCGCAGACCATTAACCATGTTAACACGGTAATACATCGTACGCCGAACGAACGATAAAGCTCAGTCGCAGCGGGGTCATCCGCCAGACCATGTAGTATCTTGGCATGCGCTCTCCGCTACCCGCCTGAACTGAACGATAACCTCGTTTTCGTTGTCCCTCACCGTTTGTATTACCAGCGGCGCTCTTTGGCTGAGGCCTTTGACCGCCATTGACCTTCCGTCAGGCCTCGACGGTCGGTTTGAGTCCCATTATCTCCTTCAATTTTAGTGCATTTGGCAATCGCGCTCTCCAGGCTGACAGCGATGACAATGAAGCGCGCAAGAGCATGCGACTTGCTATCGATTTGAACTGCTTTGCTCAGGCCACGTCGGTCAGACAAGGTGGTGAACCAACATGAATTGAGCCTGCTCGATCGTAGGACCACTTGAATGTACTTCGCCGGACCTCTGCTCTATCAGATCACTCATCGCTTTGAACTGCATACTACTTCGCACACTATCAGCGGAATGGCTCGCGACCGAGATTCACTCCACGGGATCTTGTTCCTTGCCACCGTAAAACTGTGCCGACACCTGCACCCCTT